AAATATTCCACTCTACCTAGGGGGAGGGGGCGGGCAGTATGATCGTTTGAAAATAAATATTCTGAACACTAAATGTTCATTATAAAGCAAGAGAATAAGACAAATGTATATGCATGCAGAATCGCCCTAGAAAATTCCAATATACCGAGGGGAAATTTTTTGGGGGCGATTTCATCCTAAAAAATCATATATGAATTGTATAAAACATATAAATGGCCACTTAGGTTGTTCTAAATAAGACGTAGATATTGGGACGTTATTATGTTGCAAACCAACTTTTATTTTAGAAATAATTCTTTCATGTCATGCTCTATGTCCATTTTAACATGGGTAGGCATTATATTTGTTAATGTCTTTAGACCAAGCGTTAGCGAGGTATAAAATGTTGACAAATGTAATGCCTACCTATGTTAAAATGAGCATAGAAGATGGCATGGTAGAATTATTTCGATTCTAATAGGAAAGTTTAGAATGGGTGTACTTCGAAGCGGACATAAAATACACGTTCGAAAGGCAACCATTTTGATTTGAGGTAGCCAAAACGTTCAAGAAAATCAACCGTTTCACGATAAAAATTAACAGATACATGTAAACCTACTTTCAGAATTATTTTATTTAATTTACTAGCGAGCAACACCAACACAAATGTCTCCGGTGTAGTTCAAAATACAACTGGCGTTGCAATTGCAATTGTGACGTCAATCACGTGCAGCCCATGTACTATTGGAATTAGAACATGCAAAGCGAAAGAAGAACGTCATATTAGAATCATATTGAAAATACATAATTGTAATATATATTTATTTCAAATATTAACTTGAAGTTTCCTTGAAACTTGAACTGTGAATTTGATATGGAAAACATGCTTTAAAAGGCCTACAAAATCAAATATGCATACCTGAAAATAGAGGGAAAGGTGAAAATCCCACAGCTATGTTATGCGCGTGCTCAAGTGTTAAAAAACGCATTAGTAGGAGTAACACAGCTGGTGATCAATTTATTTGGCAATCGCCAATGCCAGTCAGCAGGGTTTAAGGTAGATTCATGGTATACCGCCATCTTGAATTGTACAATCCCAGTACAAAATCGGTCTAGTTATTTGCCCAAATCTTTAAATTTGGAGACATATTTGCAATTTATTGGTTAGACTGTTTATTTATATAAGGAAAACTTAGTGATTTATTGTATCACTCAAAGTATTTAAACAAACATCAAATTTTGTGTTTTTAGAATCAATTTTTTCAAATAAGCCGTTTAAAGGGAGATAACTCTTTAAGTAAAAAATATGTACTTGACTGATAGGGAAATAATTAATTTTTACTTGTAGCAAGAAAACAAGTTCGGTGACACCATTTTTCTTTTTATTTTCTTAAAATATATTATAAAACCTATCTTCTCACAATTTATTTCAAAATTCTATCTCATAGATTTTTTTTATGCACACAAATGTGTTTTTTTTCATGAACAATCTAACCAAATTTAGGCAATTTTCAACGACTCATAGCTTGGTAAATCAGTGGCGGATCCAGAACTTTTTATAAGGGGGGCCCGCTGACTGACCTAAGGGGGGGCCGCTCCAGTCATGCTTCAGTGATTCCCTATATAATCAACCAAATTTTTCCCACGAAAGGGGGGGGGGGGCGGCCCCCCAGGGCCCCCCCCCTGGATACGCCTATGTAAATAGCACGGTGATCCATACTTTTTAATATATTTTTTGAAAAAAGCATAGTAAAATCTTCATTTTGGCAAAGTATAAGAAAATTCTATCTCAAGAAATATATACCTATGATCTACCTTAAGAACATCAGTTGTTCGACCTGTTAGTCAAATGCGTTTTGTTAAGATATACTTTTCACTTTTTGGTCTGTTGGAAAATGTTGTTTGTGCTGTATTTAGACCCCTCTACCAAGAAATTTGTCTTGCATGCACACGTATAAAAATTGCGGTTTTTATCCAACGCAATCATAGGTTTGAACGTTGTTTCCAATTTAGACTTGTATATATATACAAGTACGTCTGAACCAGTGACAACTCTACAACAGATTGATCCATCGGATCACCAGCAGTGATGGTGATACATGGCTGTGTACATTCTGTATATACAACTCGTCTAAACATCAGCCCAACAATGTTAGATCTGTAAATTTGCTTTCGCAAATTTTTTGTTCTTCCCTCGCCGGGATTCGAACTCATGCTACTGAGATATCGTGACACCAAATCGCCTGCACTGTATCCGATATATATATATATTTAGCGGGGTTGCATGCTTGATCAATTCGTGCAGAATAGTATAGACAAATAAAGTCTTTTTCTGACTGTTCGTCAATGAATGAATGAATGAATGAGTGATGGTAGTTAATATATTGTAAACTGCAAACTAGCTTTACTCTGTTGATAAATTGATACGGTAACACAATCATACCACATCTTCTTATTTTTACATCATTACATACTAGTATAGAAAACAAACAAACATCATAAGGAATTTATGTAAGTGCATGCTATAAAGTATTTATTTCCATTTAAACTAAATTCAAAGATAAATGCAATAAGGTATACGTATAGCATTAAAAAAATATCTACTCCCTATTTGGAAAAGTTCCCGTTTAAAACAAATTTTAACACGACTAGTTTGTATTACAATATCATCTATATGACTCATATTGAATTTCTTCCGACGGACAATGTTCAGATCCGTGTTAACGTTGCTTTTCATAAATATGTGGTTTCAAAACAAAACAAAACCGGGTCCTATACCGAGACAAAATCGGGTCCTTATGTAGAAAAAAACATTGACAAAATCGGGTCCTTCCATTTTGACATAACCCATTACTTTCGTTCCATGCACAGAAATAAAAATATGGAGAAGCCCATAGTGACTAGTCTTGCAATCTCCGTGTTAATATCTTTCATTTCGCGTATTTCTTTCCGTACAATGTGCATAAAGTAAAGAGAAATTAAACAAATTCGCGGCAAGGTTCACTCAATTCACCATTTTGATGTGCCTTTTTACTTATTATTAATTAATTTGGAACGGTTGTAGTAAATATTACATCTCACAATCGAAAATAGTTATATGCGTATGTATATTCTTCAATATCATTAAAACAACAAATAATAAACAGAAATCCTACCTTTTCTCTGTCTGTTGGTGGTCCGTCAGTACTTAAAACCTTCCATCCTTCATGGGTGGATTTTACATAGATAAATAAAATCGTATTATAAAAAAGCAAAATGAGGATGTTAAATTTGATGCCAGTATGCCTTTTTGTGCTTCTTTGTTACATTTGTTTGTTTTTATAGTGATTAAGATGATAACACAATGTTGACTGCTGTACCCCTATTTAAGACATTTTTACCTATTGTGTCTGTTTGTTTTGTTCACGCATCGTTGTCAATATAATGGAATTTGATGCGACTGTCATACAAGTGAGATGTTTACTTAGCTATAAAACCAGGTTCAATCCACCATTTTCTACATAAGAAAACGCTGTACCAAGTCAGGAATATGGCAGTTGTTATCCATTCGTTTGATGTGTTTGAGCTTTTGATTTTGCCATTTGATTAGGGACTTTCCTTTTTGAATTTTCCTCGGAGTTCAGTATTTTTGTGATTCTACTTTTCACCGTACCGGATATTAGATACTATTGAGTACAAACATTTTTTGCCGGGGTAGTTTAGACACAGCGTAATTGTTTCAAAAGTATCATATGGTTAATTACTTAGGTGTTTACGATAAAATGCATTGCGGGATAAACAATTTCGCTTAGTTTTTCATCTTTTGCATGTACATTTATAGTCCGTGATATAAAGTATTCGTTCCATGCTGAGATTAACGAATAATTGTTTCTATGCGAAGAAACGAGTGTTTGAATTACCCGAAATATAGCCATTAATAGTATTGATGATTTAACAAAGATTTCAGATATTCGCCAACAAGACAGCAACGAAACAACAGTGAAAAAACACAATTACCCATAAGATGAACTTCATTCAGATAGTTAAAAAATAAGTGATCCTGGAATTTTTAGAAACCAATAAATAAAGCATGTTTTTCCAGACAAAAATATCAATCAGAACACATTTAACAGAATAAGTGAAATGACTTCATCAACAGACTAAGAAATGCATGATCCTGTGTAAAGCCAAAATATAAGTATCAACATGATATTGGACCATACGTGCTCATTACTCTAAAGCAAAGTTATTTTAGTCTTGTTGAATACCGTACGGTAACCTATAGTTGTTTAAATTTTCGTTATTTGGTTCTGGGGGATACACTTTTTTGTAGTTGTCTCATCGGTAACCACACCAAGTCTCCTCATTTTGATATGATAGATTATACACTAGAATTCACAACTCGTGTATTGTTAGCTCACCTTTGAAAACTATTTTTCATATATCAAATAAGTTATTAGAATAATAAATTTATCTTTCATTAAATGGAACATATTTCAGAACAGCTGGTGAACCAGGTCCGATCAAAAAATGACATAACAAAATACTACTAAGTACTATAAATGGAGTCTGGGTGCCATATGTGTCATCAGACATTTTGAATTCAATTTTTTTCTACTATTGATTGTACTTTCGTATCACTTAGTATAAATATTTGGCTTCTAGACTTTTGTTCTCAATCGTAAAATATTCAGGATACACTGGTGGATCGTGCGCATTGGTATCGGTATCCTACATTACTGGTACCACTGCTGTTGGACCGTCTGTTCTGTCTTAAATCAGCCTTTCACCATCATATCAATTTATACGTTACGCAAAAGTTAGTTTTACCGAAGGAAAAGTACTATTTATGCTTGAATTGTAGATTATACTCTATGGTTTTATATTCAACTCTGGTAAATTTAAATTTCGACGATTGTGACTAACACCATGTACACACACAATATAAAACGTTATTATGAGCACAACATACTACATTTGCTAGGGAGATATAATTGGTCTAGTTACTCATCATAAAGGAGGCACCACTAAAACAATGTGTGTTCTAGTTGATTACATATATAAATCTATTTATTAAAGTGTCACATATTGATTGCAATAAAAGGAATTCATACACAATATACACACTTGATAACACAACCAATATCCAGCCACACATCTGACTTACGAGACACTATATACCAAATAACTATTTACAAATTAAGACAGCGTAAAAAAATAAAATAAAATGTATATGTCTTTTAAACAAAAGAATAAACAAGGATGTCATTGAATCTCTTATAATAAGTTAATATATAAATCATTTAATCATTTCATATTGAATGATAAATAATCTCAAAGTATGTTATTAATAATACTGAAATATCAATTTATAAATCACATAATCTAAAAAAGAAGTTAATTCTAGTTATCTAAAAATATAAACGTTAAAAGTTTAATATATTCCTATTACATGTTCAAATTAGACATACAAAAGAGCGTTGATGATCATTATAAAAATAATTTTCTACGGATAAAGTATCTATGAAGACTAGTACTTTTAGAAAAATTATGCTGGATTTCTGTGCAATTCATATTATGTTTAAAAATTTGTCGTTAATGTTCAGATTGTTAAAAGTACTAGATGTAACTATATATTAATTCATGTTGTTATAGGTGTTTCAGCAAATATTTTTTAATTAAACTGGTGTACCTTGTATCTTTTCAAAGATCATTAAAAACTTGGACTAAACATAGTTTATCATATGCTTTTTTTCTGAACAAAATCATATTGTACACATATTAAGTAACAATTATTATGTAAACAGACGCAACAAATGACATGAAAGACTTAATATCACATTATAATCTACCAGTAAACCGAAGATATTACATTTCAAATCTATCATAACAAAAACCTGTTGTGCCATGTTCGCATGATACGCCTATCCCGCTTGATCATAATAAATAAAGTGATTAAGGTTGGTTTTTCATGTACAGTCCAAAATTACTCTCTGAAATTACTGGACATATTTACTAAAAAACTTGTTTAATCATTTTAATCTGAGTTCTAAATACGCTTGTATAAATTTAAATAAATCGACCATGGCATGTTTGAGTTAGTTTGGACATGTTAAAAGTTGCTTATATTTTGCAGATTAAAGTCCCATACTTCTTTAGGGTTAAAAAACGAATAGATTAAAAAAAAACTACATAGACCCTGTAACCACCATTTGTACTAATTTTGTAAAGTTTGAAGTAAATTGATTCTGGCATAATTAAGTTATAGCATGACATGTGAAAAAATGCTTTTCCTAACCAAGTGATAATCATCCAAGTGTATAGACCCTAAGACAAATATTCTTAATAATTTTATAAAGATGAAAATAGATCACTGAAGGCACTCTTTTATCACTGCGACATGTATATTTCGAACGGACGGATGGACGGACGAACGAAGGGACAACGGTATACTCTAATACGTTCGTCGTTGACTAACGTGCAATAACAAAACATTCCATTCCTCCTTTTCAGCTGAATATAAAAGAATCTGAGATCTGATATGTATCGTCATAAAGGTCGTATCAAGCCTTATCTTGTAAAGGAGCTGCCTCTTCACTTTTATGTGTCATTTGTGCAAATTTCTTCATTTTGTTGGACCTTACCCATAACTGTAGTGGGTGTAGGAATGTAACTGAAGCCAGAACGAGCAAAGCAATATATACCTGCAACCAGAAAATATAGTATGAAAAAAAGGTAAACAATTTCAATATCTTACAGTAACAGTAAAACATCTTTTCCACATTTCATCAGTAGAACCTTTGGAAAAAAAAATAGTATTGTTTTATCTTTGCCTAAACGACCACTTATTGAACAATATCTAAATTATGTTTTTTTTATTATGGTCAGAAGATTTGAGACTACCTCAATGGAATCAAATTAATTTTAAAACATGAAAAGATATTTTATAGTGATTTTAAAGAAGAAAGTAGAAATCAGTATGTATTTTAGAAAGTAAAAATATATATAATATCGCAGATTCGAGTCAAATTCATTCATGGAAAGCGAGATAACTGTCGCCTACCTGTTTGCTTCCACTTTCAGAGGATACAGCCCACTTGACTAATCCATATTGTGTCAATGAAAACAAACCATTTATAAGAGTCATAAAACCATAGAGAGGTCCAAAATACTCGGAAGGAAATCTGAAATCAAAAAGCAAATTTAGGTTATTGAAGTATTTGTTTATAAAGAAATATCTTTATCTTTAAGAGAGAAGTAATAAAAGACAATTGTCTATGGTTAAAAACCGTATGTTGGCCTCTAGGTTTCCTTTGGATTTTCATGGCGTTAGGTTGCTGTCTAATTGATGTATGCGCCACATCTCCATTTATTCATATGCAATAATACTATCTATACCGGTATCTTGGAATAAGTTGCTTTTCCTTCACTAACTTAATAGTATTGAGACTGTATGTTTTTTAAGTTAAATTCTTAGAATTTGTTTTATGTTGTTGGGCAACTGCCAAGCTGACAAACACCAAAATGACTTTATATTCATATCTAATGTGTGATAATTATGACTTTTTTTTAATAGCATTTCAAGCACCTTCGCGCGTTTTTTATTTCCCTTAAACAATTTAAAACATATTCTAACATCTGTAACATTCGATGAAAATATGGTGAAAAGTCAACTTCATTACTGATGTATGATAAGAGCTTATATTTTGAAACGAGAAGATTGCAAAAATGTTTTAAAAAATCTTTAAAAACAATATTAAATCTACGGACAAATACATTAGACGATATAATCTTGACCCATCAGTGCAGAAATGTCATTTTTACTGTCCCTATCATGTCGTACTTCTGCATATTTTTTTTTTAGTTTCTAACGATACATGTATAACTAGTTACTTTCGTACTAACCAATTTTTGCAACGTTTTCATTTATTGCCAAACTTATCAAGGATGGAACTGATAGTGAAATTAAATATTTCAAGCGCAGATCCAGAAAATTAGTTTTAAAATTTCACATTCTGTTTTCTTCATATTGTTTACATTATTTAGATGAAGGTTTGGATAGTATATTCCTTTTCGGAATTCTGTCTTAATGGTTGTTGTCTACCTGCTTCAAATGATAGATTGTTATTGTCATTATAGGAATGAAATGAATAAAAGCTGCATCATCATAATAAGATAAAAGTATTTGAACTTAGTCTAAAAAGTCTTGTAAAATGTCTTCTATACTTTTTTTAATTTGTTCTATTCTTACAGTTTAAGGGTATGTGATGATATGATATTACAACAGTTCTTGACACGCTGTTTACTGCATGTGTTTAAATAAAACTAAAAAATAATAAAAATGCTTACGCTTCATTTACAAATGCTACACCAATGGAGAAGAGAAAATTGCGGAATAGTGTGAACAAAACGAAACTTGGAAACAAAAAACTTATATTTTCTACAAGCAAACAGCTGAATACGGCTGCTATAAATATTCCACATGCTGTCATCGGTATAACAACTGGCTTCCATTTCTTCTCAGTTTTTGAAAAGTCTGAAATATGACAGATAAGGGATTGAAATATTTGAATACAGTCCTTAAGACATATATAATCATTCGTAGTAGAACATCTTCGTAATTTGGAGAAAAACGTACAATTTGATAAACGTCTTAAATTGATTTGGTAAAAGCAGGAAAGTTGAAATTTTGTGTTATAATTTTTTTAAACCATTAAAATTTGTACTCATAAAATTAAAATTTAAGAATTCAATATTCACCAGTAGTCCTTTATTTTTTATGATTTTCACCCCATCAGTATAGTCATTTATTTCAATAGTAACTTTATGCTCAAACATATTCGACATTTATCGATATTACAACACTGGAATACTACAGAATATGAATTTGTGCAAATGAAAGATATCTACGAACATACATATAATAAGCAATGACTTGAAGTTTGAGACATCAAACATTTGATTAATATTTGAAATTGTAGGGATAGTAACAATAATAATGTGACGCATGTGCAATCTTACTTGAATATCTTCTCCGTTCAGCATCGTAGATGAGACCAGCAACTACTGACCCTATTCCTGATCCCATTGTAGTATAGGCAAATACACCAACATAGTAACTAACTGTAAAACAAGTTTTAATTGATTTTCAACAAAATATTTGATGCGAAATGGTTACAAGTATAATCGAATATAGTATAGTAAATTGATATAGAAATAATTTTGATGGACATACGATAGACATGACCGTTAACGATAGACCACATACATTTAATGATAAACCGCATATACAACACAGAGCACTAAAGCAAAACAACACTAGGGGTGTATCTAGGTGCTGAGGAAGAGTAAGCAGTCACTAGGGGTGTACCTAGGTGCTGAGGAAGAGTAACCAGTCACTAGGGGTGTACCTAGGTGCTGCGGAAGAGTAACCAGTCACTAGGGATGTACCTAGGTGCTGCAGAAGAGTAACAAGTCACTAGGGGTGTACCTAGGTGCTGCGGTAGAGTAAGCAGTCACTAGGGGTGTACCTAGGTACTGCGGAAGAGTAACCAGTCACTAAGGGTGTACCTATGTGCTGCGGAAGAGTAATCAGTCACTAGGGGTGTACCTAGGTGCTGCGGAAGAGTAAGCAGTCACTAGGGGTGTACCTAGGTACTGCGGAAGAGTAACCAGTCACTAAGGGTGTACCTATGTGCTGCGGAAGAGTAACCAGTCACTAGGGGTGTACCTAGGTGCTGCGGAAGAAGAACCAATTCCTGTTCCACAAGTGGCATCCGTGGTGCTGCTCATGACAAGTAAAAATTTGGTGACGAGCGCTTTGCGTGATGTCTTGATAAAAACTAGGATTATGGCTACTAAAAGTGGAACATATCTATGGTCAGTTGTGACACAAATTTCATCAGTTTTGTCGTAAAAATTAGTTTTCAACCGAACATCACTGTTGTTTGTAGGTGTAAGGAAAAATAAAAAGCAAATTTCATACTATCTGTAGTATACTTTATTGCAAGTTCAATGGGAAAGAAGCGATCATAATTAGTGGAATAGGAACTGCTTACCGATACAGTAAACCTGAGTTCAACCCGGGTTTTTGGTTATTTTTGTGTTGCTAAATCGTATGTTTTTTTGTACTGATTTGTAAAGTTTTCGTTGTTTCTTTTTGCCATCAGTTGTCTGGTTTTTTTTTCGTCCACTGGAGTCACCATAATGCTATGAGCATTTGTGTAACTTTAAACAAAACTATATGAAAATCACGTAGTCACCTTATTCCTTTCTTAACCCAAACATGACGATTAACCCAATAATACTGCTTGTTGGAAGAACTTTACAAATGTGAGGCTATAGAATATAGGTCAAACTAAGGTAACATTGGTACACAACACAACCACCTTCGGGTCATGCACATAAACAAACAGGCAAAATAAATTAAGGTTAGTTGAAAAGATATGCATATTTCTTCCTAACAAAGTCATTTACTTACATATAAATGGGCATATGCTTAGAAGTTAAAGTAACACCAAGATCATACTAGTAGTTTGACTGATTGTTGTTTGCTTAACAATTCCGACAAGAAAGTTAATTCAAGTAAACCAATAAATTTCACATTTTTTAGAGTGACACATAATTTTTTTCAGGTCAAACAATCTTTTTCCTTAAAAAATCGAAGTTCGGAATAATAACTTGGAATAACGGTAACTGTGATGTATGTCTCACTTACCTGTAGATAACGGTAACTGTGATGTATGTCTCACTTACCTGTAGATAACGGTAACTGTGATGTATGTCTCACTTACCTGTAGATAACGGTAACTGTGATGTATGTCTCACTTACCTGTAGATAACGGTAATTGTGATGTACCTTTTGACTCACTTACCTGTAGATACCTGACCATTGGCTAATTTGTCTATTCTGATATACAGTAAATTCAGGAATGTAGTGAAAAGCAGACAGTGAACTGTCATCCAACATACATGTGATATATATGTCATAGATTTCAAGTAAGACAAGACACCTTTCTTAGGGCTAGTTTTTGTTACAATATCTGTAGAGGAAATTAAAAAAAAAGTGTCAATACATTAATAAACAAGTCCGATTTTACTGATACTAACACGTAGTTAACGCAATAACAGTCTTTTGGTCTCCCAAACATTTAAAGAAAAAAAAAAGACGAGAGGATATATAATGTACAGAGCTATTTTTTTACGTCTCAGTCGGTATTTTCTCATTTGTTCTATCACCATTTAGAACTATATAAAACTGTAGGTTTGATAATACGTGAATTTATATAAAGCGTTACTTTTGTTTTTCCTTCTACCTTTAAGAATGTTGACCAATATGTGTAAACTTTTCAGTTTGGTAAATTCAGGAAACATTATTTTTTTATGTTTGCCTGCTTTGTCTCCCTGCATCTCTGGTATCGATAAAGCACGTGAAAAAGCACGTGAGATTGATATTATACATGTACTGCTTTGCCAACTGTAGTGTTTAATTTGCCTTTCCGGCAGTTTTTGCAATCGCATTCTGTATATTATAATTTGTAAAAGAAACAAAATTTGACCGATATATTCACAAGGTTGTACACTTGCATTCTGTAAGATATTCTTTACAACTGAAACTTTGGTTGTTGTGGTAGCAGACGATCCTTTATAAATCATTTCACAATGGAAAGTGCATAGGTATTTAAACATTTTCAACATAAACAAATAACGGTCGATTACTGGAGTGTGACCCTCATATTGTGATTAAATATGATTAAAAAATAATCTTTTGATATTTTTATGTTACGTTGATGGTCGACTAATTTATATGAAATAACTAATATAAAAGTTAAGAACAGAATCTGAACTAGTAATTGAGTTTACTGAATAGAAGGTGTAAACTGTAACGCTATCTTGTAAAAATGTAATAGTAGATATCATTCAGCCTCAAGATGCGTAACCCTGGTTTTTGGTGAGGTTTGTGTTGTTCACTTTTTTAGTTTTCTATGTTGTGGTTTGTAGACTGTTGTTTGTCTTTTGGTCGTTTTTCGTATTTTTGTCATATAATTTGTCAGTTCGTTTTCGACTTATGAGTATGACTATTCCTTTGCTATTTTCCACCTCTATTCTATATGCGTTCTACTATACTTGATTTTATCAATAACGATAACTCTTTTGTCATCATGCTACTGCTATCTTATCAGTAGTACGCGAGTCGTTAATGTAATGGACATTTGCTTACATGGTTTATCAGTTCTTTGTATTTCAGTGTACTGAAGAACGCTGTCACCGGTAACACAGATCTCAACTTCATCCAGCTTTTCCACGCTGGTGATGTAACATTTTGGCAATATAAAGAAAGTGCTCGTTCCGATCATAACAAGATACAGGCAAGCCAAAAATAGGAAAGACTCCCTGCGTCCAATGCCGAATCCATATGCAATCTAAAAATAAAACAAAGAAAAATGAAATTTGTACTTGAACCGAAATATACACTTTTTGTCATTCACTTGTCCCTAACCAGTTTGACCCTCAATAATTCATTATTCTGGGGTTTTTTTTATTTGTTTGTTTATTCATTTTTTTTAAATCTTGTCATTGACCTCATCTAACGAAACGAAGATCGTGTATTGATTCGTGACACAAATATGCTTTCAGGAACGCACTTTACAATCTTCACCATAGGAGCATCAATCTAATTGGTGTTCTTCTCTTTAAATTCTAAGTTACGCTTCAACAAATAGTAACAGCTTAATCATAACTGCATCTGCAAGTTTAAGACAGCCCCTATCACCGGTGTGACAGGAATTCGTTAACATTTTTGTTGAATAAACTTGAATATATGTTTCAAGGGCGTGTTTTATATACGGATCGAGATGGTCTCTTGTACAAATTAAGCAAGTTTGCAGTGGTTTTGGAATTACTAGAGTAGGCTATTTATCTGTTAAAAAAAAGTGAACTAGTGTTAGAATTCTCCCAGTTAAAGTTGACATGAGCTGTTTGATGATGCTTCTCAGATCTGAGATTTTTCCATATTCAGCTGAAAAGGAGGAATGGAAAGCTTTGAAATCAAACGTTCGTCAACAAATCTATACAATTTCTTTTTTGTAGATTTTCAGCTTATATTTTTAGTTAAAATGGAATAATGTGTTCACATTTCTAAAGTAAAAAAGAATTCTTTTTCGTGATACAATATGCCTAAACGCACTTGACAAAACCCAAAGCAAAAATGTAGTGCTTTTATTGTTTGTGCTTCATCTCAAAGTCAAAGTCAAAGTGAAACCGTAAACGTAGAAAATTAAAACACCGCACACTGCAAGTTCAAGTCGGTCCACAAACCGTTTTAGTGGAGTAATTTGATAGTTGTCGAAAACGCTACACCCCAACGCATTGAAGGCTGACACACATGCGAGGTTATATCAACAAATTACAAACTCAAACGGTCACAGAAATGTACAAGAAATTGTCAATATCTTCCCCACAATTTCATTGTAATATACAGAAACAATACAAATATTAAGAAGGCCATTGGGACACATCAAGATATATTTGAAATACCTTTTCAGGAACTGATGTATAAAAAGGACAAATTATTCGGATGTACTATATATTAATAAACTAACAGATCGAGAGAAGAAATGTGAAGAAGGATATCTCTACATTAAATACGCCATGTCTAAAAGTATGAGATCATAAACCTCAAGCAAGAACATATATTCGTTGGCTTTCAGACATAATGAGAGACAAACTCTATAATGATCTGTAATGGGAAAGAAAAATCCTGCCTTGGACCTAAGTATTCCATATCTTTGCCTTTCACTGGCTCCAACACGAACATAATTTTATAAAACTGACAAGTGTCGTGAGAAATATTTTCAAATTGATTAATGTCAACCCAAATGGTGTAGCAAACAACTTAATTATAAACTTCTACAAAACATTCACATGTATTTTTTTTTCTTTGCAGATCGACATGTATAAGCAATAATAATCGGCTGACACAACGGACTATAGACGAACGCATTGTAAAAAAATAATACATTCTGTTTGCATATCCATTAACTGGAACAGTTAAGCAGAGTATTACCTCAATTATTAGATTAGTATTTCTATTACTTAACATAAAATTCAACAAAGATCAAAATGGTCTTAGCATTACTAAAATTGTCTAACCAAGCGTCTTATTCCTAAGAAGATTTAAAGTATGTGTAGTACAATGAAAATGTAGAAAGATAAAAAATTAAATGAAATATACGAAAACAAATACATAAGGAAAACTTATTAAACAATATATTTATTTCTTAAAAGCGCATGTATATTTCCACATTTGTACCATATAAGGTCTCTGTGAAAGAAGATGATAGAAAAGGGGGAAATGCATTTATTGATGTTAAGGGAAATGGGGGGGGGGGTCTGAATAAAAATCCATAGTATTTTTTAATAATTTGCCAAAATGTAGTTTATATTATGGCTTTCTGAAATATATAATAAAAAGAATTGGGTCACGGTGCTTTTTTTTCAAGCTACATGTTGTGCAAAATTGTCAGATTTTGTAAAGATTATTCATGGAAAACACAACTTTGTGTGATAGAAAGAAAACTAAAACATAAGATTTTAAGATAAAATATGAGAAGATAACTCTTGTAATGGGCTTTCAAAATATAAAAGGAAAAAATTGGGTCACGGGACTCGTGTTTTTTGGTACTAAACAAAATAGGTATATTCATAACAGATTCAAGTATAAAAGTTACATTATCGGAGTTATCTCTCCTTATATGGCAAAGTTGAAAAAATGAAAAAAATTAATCAAACAAAAAAATTCTGTATTTGTAAAAAAACAATCGCAAAAATATGATAAAACACACAATTTTCTTCATTCAGATGAAAAGTCTAACAAAAGAAAGACATTCTTCTCTCAAAATTTGCACATTTCATTAAAGATCTAGACCGATTGTTTTCTGCTATTTTACAATCCAAGATGGCGGAAGACACCCGAACTACCTTAAGGTTGCTTTTCGCAGAGTAAAACTTCTTAACAATAAATAAGACATAAAAATGTATAAAATTATAAACCACATCAATCTTCGTAGCTACACGGAAGACTGATACAGATGCGGGGTAATATCAAAAAGTTAAAGACTTGGGATGGGATTCGAAATCCATCAAATACTGTCATTTTTTGCTCGATAATATCATTGCAAAAACAGAAACAATGCAAACATTCAGAAAAATACCGGGCGCAACAAGATGATTGCTAAATAAAATTGCAGGAAATGGAACAAATAAGTCGAATGGACTGCATACATGTCACAAGTTTGAAAAACATTCACATCGAAATAGAAAATTTGAATGAGTACACATAAGTAACCTTATCTCAGGAACAGTTATGACATTATTTAAAGTAAACTATGCGAGCATACTACACATGTTTCAGAAAGATATTTTTGTTTAAATTAAATATAATTGCTGAAAATACATGCATATATGTTTCAGATGCGTTGTTTGTTCAGTCTAATGTAAACAACGACTTCAAATTAAAAATAATTAAAAATTAATTCATATAGGTCAATCTAAATGGTCTCTTTGCACAATTCGGCAAGTTTTCATTGGTTTTATGATAATTGAAGTTGACAATTTGTAACATTTGGCAAAAATAGAAAGTTACGGTTAGAACTTCCTTGGTGATTTTTCCATATTGTGCTGAAAAGGGGAAATTGAAAGGTTTGAAGTTATACGTTCGATCACAAATCTATACAATTGCTGTTTTGAGGATTTTCAGCTTTTACTTAAAGTTAAAATGCAATAATGTGTTTACATTTCCAAAGACAAGGAACACTTCTATTTATGATACAATATTCCTTAACTCAAATAAAAGTAGCTGCGATCTTATTGATGGTCAATGTGATGCTTCCAACACATAGCAAATTAAAGCACACCGCACTGCAGGGTCAAGATGACCCCGAGCACCTGTTTGAGCGGAAGTCTTTACTAAATGTCGAAAACAATATATATGTGCATTAATGATTGACACAGAGCCGGAGTAATATCATCAAAATACAGACGTAAAGGGCAAACATTTCGGGGGCCACAGGGCATATCAAGATACGAAATACATTTGCAGTAAATAATGGGCATACAATTCAGCTGGACTGAATGCATATATATTAGACTTGTCTTGTTAGAGGGGTCTAAATACAGCACAAACAACATTTTCCAAAAGACCAAAAACGTGAAAAAGTATATTTTAACAAAACGCATTTGACTAACAGGTCGAACAACAAATGTTCTTAAACCCTGCTGACTGCCATTGGCGATTGCCAAATAAACGGATCACCGATGTAATATACATAAGTCTAAATTGAAAACAACGTTCAAACCTATGATTGCGTTGGATAACAACCGCAATTTTTATACGTGTGCATGCAAAACAAATTCCTTGGTAGAGGGGTCTAAATACAGCAAAAACAACATTTTCCAAAAGACCAAAATAGTGAAAAAGTATATTTTAACAAAACGCATTTGACTAGCAGGTCGAACAACGGATGTTCTTAAACCCTGCTGACTGCCATGGCGATTGCCAAATAAACGGATCACCAGATGTAACAACGTGAATCTTAATTATTAATTTAATACCAAACAGAAAACAATAAACTTGCAGAAAAGATGGTATACCGCAAACATGAGGTGCAAATTTTTTTTTACACCATATCCGGATTTTGACAATGTATGTCTCTTCAGTAGTGTTATGAATCGAAACGGTATTTGGAAGGCCATATAGTTTACCTCAATTTAGGATTGACTCTTGATTTTTGAAGAGTCGAAATAAGATTACTGATTATTTAAACCCGATATATATATTTATATATATAACAATTTGATAAACAAGTCTAAATTGAAAACGACGTTCAAACCTATGATTGCGTTGGATAAAAACCGCAATTTTTATACGTGTGCATGCAAAACAATTTTTTTTGGTAGAGGGGTCTAAATACAGCACAAACAACATTTTCCAAAAGACCAAATGAGTGAAAAAGTATATTTTAACAAAACGCATTTGACTAGCAGGTCGAATAACTGATGTTCTTAAACCCTGTTGACTGCCATTGGCGATTGCCAAATAAACGGATCACAAGATGTAACAAAATAGATCTTATCATTAATTTATTACCAAAAAGAAAACAATAAACTTGCGGAAAAGATGGTATTCCGCAAGCATGAGGTGCAAAAATTTGTACACCATATCCGGATTTCGACAATTAATGTCTCTTCAGTGATGTTAGGAATCGAAACGGTATTTGGAAGGCCATATAATTTACCTCAAATTAGGATAGACTCTTGAATTTTGAAAGAGTCTAAATAGGATGAACGGATCATATAAACCCGAAGGCAAATATAATACAAACCCAAACGAAAAAATATAAACAAGTCTAAATTGAAAACAACG